TCCCCTCAGCAACTGCTCATCCGACATGATCAAATAACCGCGGCCCAAAACAGCAATGGGAGGACCACCACCATCATCATCGATGTCCCCGGTCACATTTCTATTGCCACTAGCTGCTGCCTTGTTGTTAACATAACCATTGGTGAAATTCCTAGCACTAGTAGTTGTAGTACTCGTGCAGAAATTCTTGGCCCTCGTATTTCTTCGTTGAATTTCAATTGCCCACACATTTGATTTTGATTTTGGATATTTAACAGCAGTGGTGCTGGCATGGTAGAAGTAACCACGAGAAGATAGAGCAGGACGATAGCAGTAATTCAAAGAAGAGGAAGCAAAGAAGCGAGTAACAAGCCTTCGGAGTTTCAGAAAGGGGGAGAATTCTGTTATAACCATGGTTCAAAGACTTAGGTTGAGTCTACATACCGTGGTACAACCCGTACTGACTCGTCGATATCATATGCACGGCAGTGGGTGGTGGTGAAATTTGAAGAGGAGAGGATAGGAGAGCAGAGGAGAATGAAAGGCAGAGTCGCTCGAGGGTAGGGATGGCAATTGGGGCACCCGCGACATCTCCTACCTCCTCACCCAGTTAAAAAATATATGTTATTTAATTGGGCAAAAAACCTCAGCGGCCACTAAACTATTTGTCAGATCATGTTTTGGCCATCAAACTATTTTTCGTCAGTAATTGGCCACTAAACAACTTAATCAGTAAATTCGTGACCATTTAGTCGATAATTACTCTTAATCTGTGAAATTAGCAGTACACGTGACAAAATACGAGGGTAATTTTATTTAACAACTATGCGACCGTATTATTCTTTTAATTTCTTTCCTCAAACAATCACCGAATGGAAAATTATATGGAGGAAAAAATAGCGACTCAATTGGGAGCCCCAAATCTTCAGCCACAAATCCAAGAAGCCGAAGAAGAAGACAAGAATGTCGAGGCGCTCTGCTAAACCTAGATGCTTCTGCAAATTAACAGCAACGACGAAAACCTCATGGACAAATTGGAACCCAGCAAGAAGATATGTGGTCTGCCCAGGACAGGCAAGATTTTTTCTGGAATGATGCCTTTACTAGAAGAAGAGTGAGCTCTGAAAGCCATCTTGCGGAGAAGCTCCCAGCCTTCGTGTGGGTTAAGAAATCTCATCCGGTGAATGAATCCTTTGTCGTCGACTGATGAAGAAGCAATCTTGTCTGCAACTCCGACATCCCGAGTGGTGAGCAGCACTCTGCTGGCGGTTGGTTTTTGAGACAAAAGTGCAATGCAGAGGCACTCCCAAGCATCGGCAGAGCAGACATCATCCAAAACAATCAAGAATCTCTTGGACTGCATGAACTGGTAAAGCTTCTGAGCCAAGTCCAAATCTGAAAATGGGGTCATATCATCCTTGGCTCGGCAGACATGTTGCAGCAGCAAATCTTCCAAAATTTTTCTGGTGCGGAAGTCCTTCCCCACCATAGCCCAAGCAAAGCAATCAAAATGGCGGCCACTTAAAACCTCCCATCTTGCTTTACTGTCTAATCCACTAAAAATTACCCGGCACTTTTGCCACGTGTACTGCTAATTTCACAAATTAAGAGCAATTATTGATTAAATGGTCACGGATTTACTGATTAAGTTGTTTAGTGGCCAATTACTGACGAAAAATAGTTTGATGGCCAAAACATGATCTGACAAATAGTTTAATGGCCGCTGAGGTTTTTTGCCCTATTTAATTTAATTAATTACAAATTTACAATAATGATATTATCAGTTATATGTATTACATAATGGATATTAGTATATATAAGATAATTTATATTATTAATTATACTAATAATTATACACATGTCTATTAATAGACATTATTAATTAGTTATATTAAATTAACTAATACATTTATACTAAATTTATAATTACATTTAACACAATAACATTTTTTTCTTAAAAAAAACACAATAATGACTTAATAATTATATTTGTGTGAAAAGTGAAAATTTGACTACTTTAGTTATATTTGTTTCATCATGTTAGATTGTATTCAAATAACTTTTGTTTGATTATTTTTATGAGTTTCAATTGTGAAATTACAATGGATAAAAGTTTAGTGATGTGTTGATATTTTAATACTTGATTATTTGCTAAAATTTGACTGTAAAAAAATTATATGACAACTTTTTATTAGCCCCGCGAGGGGAGCGAGGCTGGACGGGGGTGCAGCGAAAGGAGCACGGGGCGGGGGGAATTAGCGGGCAATGGGGCAAGGGGCGAGGAAGAGGTCCCCCGCCCCAACTCTGTCCCGTTGCCATCCCTACTCGAGGTAGGGGGAGATATGGCTACGAAAGGTCAAAGTTAAGCACTGTCCTTTGGATTTTTTATTATAATTTTTTTTACTTTATTATAATTTTTTTTATAAGAAATTTTTGGATGGATTGACTTGGTCATCATCACCGATCAAGCATGCTTACAGAATCATAGTTAGACATCGAAATCATAAATCATAATCATAGGTGAGCATGCTTTCAAAACTATAAATCACTTACAAAAATTCTTACAAGTCATCCTCCACCAACTCACGAGTCATTCTGTACTAGCTCACAAAAACTCTTAAAAGTAGTCCTCCACCAACACAATTCTTATATCGATAATGGGATTTAAATGCACAACTCTCACATCTCACCCACCAATTCGACAGCGGGATTTAAATATACAACCACTTACATCTCGCCCACTAATATGCCCTATATTAGTGTTAGTGAAATATGAATGTATAACCCGCACATGAATCCATAATAAAAGTCCAATGCACATTTTATGAGAAATTGATCCTAAAGCAAAATTCGAATACACAACTTTTTGTAAAAAATGTGACCCCCCATGCCAATTGAATTCTTTGGCAACCCTAAGGAATTCTCCCTAGGTAATTGTGGTTTTACATGGACCATTGATATTTTCAAATGATTTATAATTATTAATAGGGTTAATTGCACTTTGCACCGATGAACTATTTCCAAATTGAGCACTACACCCTAAACTTCTAATATTTGCAATTCACTACCTTTAACTTTTAATTTTTCGTAACATAGTACAATCCACCTAATTTTGACAGATAAAAAGACCGTTTCACACCTTACTCTTGTTTTGTCCTACAAATACCCTTTCTTAACTTTGCAAAAATAATATGGTAACAAACAAAGGCTTTCAATCATAAGAAAAAGCAAGAAAAATAAAAGGTTTTTTTCCTTAAAAAGTTTAGTCATTCAAAGAACCTTCCAAAACTCCCATTGACTCTCAACCTATTGGATGAAAAAAAAAACAACAGTAATGCCCACTATCCCCATAACCCCCATCCACCATCCCAGAGAATAGCAGTAAGTAGGGCTGTACACGATCAGTAAGCCATCCTAGCATGCCCTGGCCCCTTCTCCCAATGAAGAAGCGGCAACAACATCACCCACTTGCCTCACTTGAATTCAACAACAAAGACCTTGGTGATGGGGATAGCCTAATCTCAAGATCCATTGATTCTTCTTTTGTTTTAGACCAAAAAATGGTGGTGGATGAGCTTGAATCAAAATTTGTTGTGGAAGAGAGTTCAAACTAAGATATGGTGTTGACTAAAAAAGGTACTTTCTTCTTCTATATAGGAGACGTCAATACCCATGGATTTAAGAAGTTTTGGTGGTTGTGATGGGGCTTTTGATGGTTGTGAGATTTCGGCATGGGATCTCTCTCTCTCTCTCTCTCTTTGATGAGTGTGGCTGTTTGACGATGGTAAGTTTAGGCTTCTCATGAGATGAGTTGTCTCATGTTCGATGAATTGTTAGGTAAGAGTGGTAGAGGTTTAAGAAGTTATAGTGGTGGCGGTGCAATTTGGTCATGAGACTTAGACATGGGATATTTGTGCACCTATTTTCTTTCTTGTTCAATGAGTTTTGAGGAACTGATTCAGTGGTTTGTTTGATGAGTTCTTGAGGTTCTAATTTGTTGATGAGTTTCAAGAGACTATGGTGCTGGTATGGTTTTGAGGGATGGTAAGAATTGGACATGGGGTTTTTAATTATTTTCTTATTTGATTGATTTTAGGAATTTGGGTTCTAGAAATTTGAGAATTTTTTGTCTCCAAAAAACCTATCATACGTAGGTTATTTTTGGAAGCTCAACAAGAAATTAAGGGTAAACTAGTCGCACCACTCTTTTTGTGATTATCTTTAGTTTGATTTTTAAATTGTGCCAAAGGTTAAAAGTTTGAGGTAGTTGATTGCTGAAATTCAAAGTTTAGGACATAAAGTCTGATTCTTGAATAGTTGGTGGGTGCAAACTGCAATTAACCCTTATTAATAACAATAGACTTCCACGGTTTTTTTTTTATTTTTTTTTATCAAATAGACTTCCAGGGTTAAACAAGGAAGGCGAGAGTTCTCAAATCTCAACCAGGTCTAAATGGTCTAAATTACTCCCTCCGTCCCACTTTGATAGTTTCGTTTTCCTTTTTCATCTGTCCCAAATTGTAGTCCACTTTCCAATTGAAGAATGCAGTTATATTTTAATTTTCCTAAAATACCCTTATTCAATGTAAGTTGTTGTTACTATAAACCTACCCCATTTAATGAGAGTTGATTCTTTTTTTACCATAAACCTACCCCATTCAAGTTTCCATAAAGTTGTACCATATTTAATGTGAGGATATTTTAGGAAAATAGCAATCTAAATTTACTTTTCCAATAAAGTTAACTACTTTTTCTTAAACTGTGTGAAAAAAGAAACAGGACTATAAAAGTGGGACGAAGGGAGTACTTTTTCTTAAACTGTGTGAAAAAAGAAACAGGACTATGAAAGTGAGACGGAGGGAGTAACAAATAACATTGAATCATTTGATCATATTTCCTCGGGATCGTAAAAAGTAAGAATACAAAACACACGTGCTCTGGATCATTCATTGATTATTTGGCGGTTTTGGTGACATTAATAGTTCTAGTTGTCAGCTCACCTTAAGCTCTGGACCAAGCCATAAATCACAATCATGATCCGTGTTGTAGTACAGGACCCATGACTCAGGCCCCAGAACAATTTTGTAATGAGATTTACAAACAGATGAAAAGGTCATTCAAATACAATCAACCAAATACATATTCCAGCAAATTTTATACACAGAGATTGCCCTATAAACCAAAACTTTAGTTTACATGCAAATATGTATATAATTAATAGTCAGTTCTACTACTGTTTGAATCCCTAACTGACATGGCAAGTAGGGGTGGGGGTCCTAGAGAGTTTACATGCTTATAACCCCCTTCTTCCTGTCAATCTAATTAAGCTATTAAACTAGGATGGGATCAGTTGAACAGTAGATCATCTATGACTTAGGTTCACAGTACTTTATGTGATGGTCCAAACTTCTTTGTACATCTTCTGGACCAGATCAGTCCATGAAAGTTGACCAACTTTTGCATTAGAGAACCTGCAAGTTCATGGAGCTGAACTGGTGAGGGCACTAAATATCTGCAATCAGCAAACAATTCTGGCAAATTGAACACACTATATGCAACAACCAAAGTCACCGAGGTACATAGGTCATGCAACAGAATGATATCCATGACATATAAACTAATGGGTGAATGAGGGTTCAATATATTGACAAAGACTTGGTATTTCCTGCATTTAACACGGGACATCAATTGTTTCTGCTTTCAAAAACCAACAACGTAAAACATATCTAGACAAGGGAAGCACAGTAAACAAGCTCTGTGGACATGCATTTCACGATGCACTGGATGAATTTTGCAGAGAAATGAACAGTAAGAAACGAATAACACATAACTCGAAACAACTATAACAGCTTTATATTAAGTTTATATTCTCCCCTCAATTCTGTGTTAGCCTCTGCAGGTTTGTGATTATCAAAATAAGATATGTAACGTAATCTCCCTTTTTTAAATTTGGTACAAACGAGTAATAGCAAGAATGTCCTTTACTGCAGAGACATTCATTGAGGTGTAAACAAGCAAATGGACTCATCTCTGCAACATAATAAGTAATGCCAGCAGGAATTAGTCCAAATAACATGTAGCACGCAGCTCATAAAATCTTATTTCCTTCGATTAAGACAATGTCATTCACCCACAACAAAAGACAAATGAATATGTTTGTGCATCAAGAATCAAGCTATTTTCTTATTGATGAAACTTACCAATCAGGTCAGTTTGGAATATAGTCAAAATTAAAACCTAATTATTTGCTACAGCAGTCAATAAATTGGCAAAGCTAATTGCTCAGAACTAGGTCTTACTATGTGTTGCTTAACAGCTTGGTTGCCAATTGCCTGTTCTGCGCATCTCCGCAGCATTACTCGTACTTGCTTCAGAGGATGACTCCATCAAAGCATGTATCTGAGTCAAAATTCCATTAAATAAAGCAAAGTATTATAGGTACGTCAAAAGGAGGACAGGTAATAGGTAATCAGGAAAATCCCTACTCACCACCTCCATACGTTTTCTGTGAGCATCACTTGGTGGCTGCAATACATATCAAATGGAAATGAATATTAATTAACACTGCTCTGAGATGATTTAAAAAACAACAAAGTTCATATCTTTAGCATCTGAAACCCCATCAACAGCATCATAAATCCTACAAGCCATAAATTAGCAATCTGTCCATGTGTGCGGCGAGAGAGAGAGAGAGAGAGAGAGAGAGAGGGAGGGAGGGAGATGAAAATGTCAGCCATACAAAGGGGGAAAAAGGAAAACGGGTTAGTGTAATTAAACAAAAAAACCTTTGCACAGAAATGGTATTTCCAAATTAACTTCTTAGCAGTCCATTTAAAGCTTAGGACACCATCCCAAACCAAGTTTGCCTGTAACTAAAATTCATATACTTAGCACCCATGGAATTTATTAAAAAAAAAAAACTCTTGCAAACAAATATATACATAAATACTTACATGGTTCTGTTGATGTTTCTTCTCTTCACTAGAGAAACCAGGGATAGTCAATTTGTAGTTCTTCTCTGCAAAAATATCATTGTTATAACCATGAAACAAAATCCAATTATCCAACTTCCATCTGAGGCGAGCAGCTAAAATCATGCTTAGGATATCATCATATATATAAGATCCTCATTCTTCTATTGCATACTGAGCTAAACGCATCAACATAGTAATCCACCGAGCAATGAATTACCAGATCTAATCTCAAGATGAAAAATGAATTATGAACTCATTGTATTACCTAGATCTATCAACAAAAGACGATGAATATTGGTCCCAGTCTATTTATCCAATAGAGTCAAATATGAACCAGAAGTAATTTAACAGTTGGGCCATATAGAAGTCGGTATCTTACGCTCGGTAATAAATTTCATTTCTCTAATAAGATAACATAAGAAATAATGCCATTCAGGGGAGAGGAAAACAAAGCTATTAACTGATGCAAAACAGACCTAGATGCAGCAATACATCCTTGGCTTCCAGAGTTGATGATTTCCGATGCTTTGCCAAGCCGCAAGCGAATGAAGTCACCTGCAAAATGTAAGCAAAGAAAAAGTTCAGTAAACAATCTCAAAGACTACTGATCATTTTGCAATGTGAATTATTAAGAATAGTCCAAGAATGGTGGTAAAAAACCACAACCTGGTTTACTCTTTCAACATGTAATCAAAGTAAAAAGGAATATGCTAATTCTGATAGCACATTAAAGAATCAAAATGCTGGTCTTCAACTTCAACCTCAGCCACAAACAAGGTTCAATAATGTGAAGAGAAGGTCAAATTGTGACAAAATGATGAAAGAGTCAAACAGGAAAAAGCAGGGAAATGTAAATTGTGCCAGAACTGAAATTCAGTTATTTAGACAATCATAATATCCCCATAATATAAGTTAAGACAGAATGCAGCAACCCCTGGTCACAACTAGGATACACTGAATGTGCTAAATAATTCAAATATCTACCATAAATTCTTGCATAACATTGAATTCTTAAACCAAAAAATAGCCATGTGCTCTCAACCAGTGTATATTGCTTTTATCATGTCATCAACCAAGTATTACTTCATATATCAATGGTTCTGGATGTCTATGATCACAAAACATGGTAACATGCCATTGAAATTGGAAGATATGCTTGCAACTATCAAGTCAAGGAAGTATAAAGCTAGCATCAATGTTGCCAACCAAGATAATACCATCAGATGACAATATCGGTCACTCCATTGTAGACAATGAGATTCGAAGAATTTTAAAGAGAATGGACCTTAAAGATGTCGTCAGATCACTATCAAATACCAAATTCAAGTGAAAGATCTCTAACATTTACCCCAAACTCAGGTGATAGGAACAAAGATTCACAGAAAGAGATTGGCAATGCTCTGCCTGGAAGACAGTGTAAATGTAAGATTGAATGATAATTAGTTATCATAGTTTCAAAGCCTAACCGAGTCAATAAAGTCATCAGCAACTTGCAAAAGAAGGTCTTCAACTTCAGGATCCAGCTTTCCTTGTGGATCTACCTGAAAATACACAGGAGATATTAGATAACTCAAGAGATAAATATTATGTAAAAATTTTCTCGGCATAATCGAAATCTATATCATAAAACTTCACTTATGGAATTAAAATATCTCTTCCCACGTAAAACTTTCCCATAACAACCATAAGCTATTCTGCCAAACAAAATATTTCTTTCTTTGCCCTTTTTTTACCTACCTTTCTCAAATCCCAAAAATGGGAATGTCAAAAAACGAGATATAAGGACAGACCTGTGAAACTAAGTCCTGTATCCTTCTCTTGCCCAGTAGTTGATTGCTTGCTTCAGTACCTTGACTCGAGCTTCCCCCTGGTGTAGTTGTTCCAGATGTAGTAGCATCAGGCTGTGACCCAGTCAAACTAAGAGACTTCTGTCCTGCAGAGGCTACCATCCTGGGAGACTGCTGCTGCTGATGCAAAGCTGATTGTAGTTGTTGCTGCTGCGGCTGCAGTTGTTGATTCTGCTGCTGCTGTTGCTGTTGCTGCTGTGGCTGTGGCTGTGGCTGTGGCTGTGGCTGCTGCTGTTGTTGCTGTTGGGTTGACTGTGTCTGTTGTTGGTGCTGATGGATCTGAGAATGCCCAATCTGTGGCTGCTGTTGAACCATATGTGCTAACTGCTGCGGCAATGCCATAGAATTCTGGTGCAACTGTGAGGATAGCTGTTGCTGCGAAAGGAACTGTTGCCTCTGCTGTTGAAGACGATATGAAGGAGAATTAGGAGATGGCATTTGCTTCAACCACTGCTGTTGTGATATACTATTCTGCATCAAAGCTGGCTGTCCATTCTGAGCCAACGCAGATAATTGGGCATTCATTAATGACGTCCTTGGGACCCCCTGAGTCTGTAATTTCTAGAGAAAAACATTGAATCAGAAAAGTGCAGATGAGCCAAAGACCAGTACAGCAAAAGAAGGTGACAAAGAATACATAAATCATTAAATGCCCTGACCATGAAATAAGCAGGTTTTGTAAAGAACTAAGATGAAAACAATTATAGGTATTAATGGGAATAATGAAGTCAATAAACAGCAACCTATTCAAGCCCAAAGCATTGTCATTTACTTCTCAAAGAGGCTGAGAGACGAATCATCAACCGCCACATGGAAAGTATAAAAGTGCTAATTGCTACAGGTAACGGAAGAATTCGCTAAATGCCAAGTTAAAGTATTTTTCTAACCAGAACATGTTGCACAACTATCTGAGCCCCATATTTCTACTTTTCAGAATTTACTATGATTACATAATCTTATTTCTGATCAAACATCCATGAAATTAACATCCTAATAAGATCTAATTAAATTCAACACCATACAATCAGACATTTCCCAGGTACCGAAACTTAAGGTCTAGAAATTCTCCTCATCTATAGGCAGAATGCAATGTTTACAACATTCAACCTCTGAGTCATCATGAATTAGTCTAACCCTTAGCGAATAGCTAAGCCACATCATGTCCAGTTAACAGTCTTCTTTAATAATTAATTTCTTACCAGAAGAATGGACAAGCATTACAAGCATAAGAAAAACATCAACAATCCCTTCCGCCACCCCCGCCCACCACCACCCCTTCCAAAGAAAATCAAATCAGTTGCCAGGGCAGTAGGAGAAATCTTATATGTAACAATCTAATACCTGATAATATCTACTTTCCTGAAAAAGATGAACACGAGTATGAGGGCGACCATTTCAGAACGGATGCCAAGAGTTGGGCCTGCAATAAATCTACCCCATCCTAGTCTTCTATGAAGGCCCAAGCTGTGAAGGGCTCTAGCAACTATCAAATCATGATTTCTCTTCTGAATGGGGCTGCTATGACACAATCACAAAAATGGCAGATTCATAGTGAAGATTACCTTTTTAAATCAGATATCCAGTTAAACTAAACCTATTTGGAGAATTGAAAAGGCAACAGGACCAAGTAGACGTCTCCCTCAAAGCTCCACACCACCAAGAGAAGGAGACAACCTATGCAATACATACACACATACATACACATATACATACATACATATATATATATATATATATATATATATAAAAGGAATAAAATGGTCCACAGGGTCTAAAATGTTTTGAAAGTATGTGTATCAGAAGAATGACTAAAATACCCAGGATAAAGTGAAACTCAGCTCTAAAGAAAAAAAGCAAAAGAGCATTCACGCCATAAACTAATACGTTACATAGGCTAATTTATTACCCTCCACTACACACCCCCTACCCCACCTGGAAAAGAGAGAGAGCGAGAGAGAGAGAGAGAGAAAAAAAAGGCAAAAGTATTGCAAAACTGATCTGAACATCAAAGGACACTAGGTAGAATGAATGACAAATGATTTCATAGTAGACACACTAGAAGAGTTACGAGCATTAATAAAATAAATAAATGGACCACCAACAACCCCTCAGGCCACCCCGAGCCCCTTCCAAAGAAAGAAAAGAAAAGAAAAAGGCCAGAACTGCAGGAGAAACCTTATACATAACGCTCTAATACCTGATAATATCTACTTTCCTAAAAAAGATCAACATAAATATGAGGGTGACCATTTCCGAAATTATGCCAAGAGTTGAGCTGCAATATATGTAACCCAGCCTAGTTTTCTAAGAAGGTCCAAGCTGCGAAGAGTTCTAGCAACAATCAAATCATGATTTCCCTTCTGAAGGGGGCTGAGTTGACACAATCAAAAAAGTGGCTGATTCATAGTTAAGATTACCATTTTAGATCATATCTCTAGCTAATCTAGACTTATTTGGAGAATCAATAGTGCAGTGGGACCAAGTAGATGTCTACATAAAAGTTCCACACCACCAAGAGAAGGAGATGACCTATGCAAAAATATATAAAGGAAAAAAAATGGTCTACAGGATCTAAAATGTTAAAAAGTACGTGTACCATAAGAGTGACTAAAATACCCAAAATCAAAGTGAAACTCAGCCCTAAAGATGAAAAGCAAAAGAGCTTTAATGCCATAAAACTAATACGTTGCACAACTAATTTATTACCCACACAACCCCCCCCCCCCCCAAAAAACAAAAAAATTGAAACTTTTGTGAAACTGAGCTGAAAGTCAATGTGACATCAGATAGAATAAATGACAAATGATTTGATAGTAGTCACAATAGCAGAGTTACAAATATAAGAAAATCACCAACAAACCCTCCTTCGGGCCCTGCAACCCACACTACCTTTCAAAGAAAGGGAAAACAAAAGGAAAAAAGAAAAGAAAAAAGGGCCAGGACAGCAGGAAAAATCTTATGTATCACATTCTAATACTTGACAATATCTACTTTCCCAAAAGAGATGAACATGAGTATGAGAGCGACCATCAAAGAACTAATACCAAGAGTTGGGCCAGCAATAAATCTTCCCCAGCCTAGTTTCCTAAGAAGGCCCAAGCTGAAAAGAGTTCTAGCCACAATCAAATCACGATTTCTCTTCTGAATGTGGCTGATATATAAAAATCAGAAAAGTGGCAGACTCATAATTAAATTACCTTTTTAGATCATATATCCAGTTAACCTAGACCTCCTTGAAGATTTGAAAAGGAACAGGACCAAGTAGATGTCCCCTTAAAAGTTTCACACCACCAAGAAAAGGAGACGACCTACGCAAAACTATATAAAGGGAAAAAATGGTCTGCAGGAGCTAAAATTTTTAAAAAGTAGTGTATCAGAAGAATGATTAAAATAGCCAAAATCAAACCGAAACTCAGCTCTTAAGAAGAAAATGAAAACAGCATTGACGCCATAAAACTAATACATTACACAAACTAATTAATTACGCTCCCCCACCCCCCAACCAAAAAAAAAATCAAAGAGAAAAGAATGAGAAATTGAGCAGAAAGTCAAAGCGACCCAGGTAGAATAAGTGACAAGTAATTCAATGGTAGTCATAACAAAGAGTGCCAAGACAAACGTTAAGAAGATTGAGGTAATTTATGACAATGACAGGAAGATGCCTTATTGATGGACTATAGATATGCCGAACTAACTCCTAGTCCAATTATCGCTCATTTAAAAAATTTACTTTTACTGCAGAAGTACCTCTAGTCTAACCTGACTGATAGCAAGTTGACTTTGCGGTGACAAATGCTGCCTCAGGCCCTGGTTTATCCTCTGTTGAGCATATGCCGTCGGTCCATTGGCCCTAAGTTGAGAGATGGGACCCATCATCCCCATGGCCTGCATTCCTGGCAAAGCTTGCCCAGTTGAACTCCCAGGATGGAGTTGAGACCCTTGCATCATACCAGCCTTCTGCCGTGGCTGCATCCCAATTCAGTTTGTTTCAGAAATATCAACACAAAAAAATTAAAATAAAAGATATAAACAAAAACTCTTCTATGTGTTGACTCTCCATCAATATGAACTAATGTACAACCTAAGTTTGGATCCAAGGGCTCAAAGTCCTGTCTTTGCACCTAAATCTTAATTCCAAAATGTAAATTAACCATTCAAATCAAGGGTCTCGTAATGGTTGGTTCTCAATCAATACACACGAAACTCCATGCTAAGACTGCATGTAGGGGCTCAAAATACATTGAATTATTGAAAATACATCGTAAACCATACTAATAAAGGATCTCCTAGGAAAATACACTAACTACATACTAAGACTAACTCTACAGGCTCAAAATCCAACCTTTGGAAGTAAATTGAAAACTAAAAAGAAACTATCTAAAAGCTCTAAATAACATTTCAATTAAACAGGCATTGTATACCGAAGTCAAAAACGGGGACTGTAAATCGAACTGGGCAGCAGCAGCTGCAGCTTGACCAGAAAGCATTGGAAGGTGGCCAGTCTGTCCCATCAATGCGGACCTTGATAAGTTCCCACTGCCCATCTGAGCCATCTGCCCCATCTGTTGCTGCTGTTGTTGCTGCTGCTGTTGCTGCTGCTGCTGTTGCTGCTGTTGTTGCTGCTGCTGAAGCGCGTTGCCACCAAAATTCATCTGCCCATAAATCCCCGCCTGTTGTCTCATCATCCCAAGCTGCTGCTGCTGCTGCATTTGGCTCAGCCTCGCCATCGACGGGGACCTCTGCAAACTCTGCTGCATCTGGAAATTCGCCACCGCAGCAGCAGCCATCAAATTATTCGCACCATTGCTGTTATTATTACCTGCATTACCACTACTCTGTTGCTGAATTTGCTGCTGCTGTTGCTGAAGCTGCTGAATTTGCTGCTGCTGCTGCTGCTGGGATTGCACCAATTGCTGCTGCTGCTGTACCTGGATCGGCTGCTGCTGCTGCTGTTGCTGCACCAATTGCTGCTGCTGGGACGAATTTAATGGGATTTGCGGGGGAAGATCCACCGAAGACGGCGTTGCTGAAGGAGAAGGCTGCATTAAATTGGAGGAAGAAGATGGTGTCCCCACAACAACTGCCGCTGAAGCCGATGACGATGATTGAAGTTGTGGGTTTGTGGGTTCGATCAATTGATTATTGGATTGAATTGGGTTCGGCGACGGAGATGAAATGTCCGCCATTTTCATCTAAATTTTGAGTTTATTGGGGGTAATTTACAGATGAATGGTAGGAAATTATTAGGGTTTATTTTGGGGGAATTGGGACGAAAATCTGGAGAATTTATTGGGGGTTTGCTAAAAGAACAAAGGGAAATTTTAGAGTTGAGTTTTGTAAATTGTGAATTGGGTTTTGGAGGTGGGAGTATGGGATGCTACTCCACGCCGGCCAAAGAGGGATCAAGGTGTGTTTTTGTACTTGGTACTGTCTGCTTATGTACAAGTTCCATAGCAGAAGCCAGAAAGAAAGAGGGAGACGGACTTCAAAAGAATTGGTAGCAGTTTATGTTGAAGTTGAACTCAAAAAATGACATTCTTTTATTTTGATTTAGAAGGAAATAAAGGCATGAAATTAGGAGAATCAAACTATTCAATTTTCAGTGCTCTTTCTCCAATTTTCAGTGCTCTTTCTCAAAATTAAGGGGGCCAAACCAAACGAGACTAATCTGGACACGTCAGGCAGTGTTAAAACTTGTTTTTTTATTTTAACGACTTTGAGATTATGTTGAAATTTAACTTATTTATATAAGATAAGACGTTGATTCTAATTTTTATTTCATAAGTCACTCAAAATTGTCAAGGATTTAGGTATAAAATTTTTTATTTTTCATGCTTCACTATCTCTACTATTCTTGCCAACATCGAGGCGCAATCACTAGCAAATTTTCTTGACTATTGTCGCCAACTTCGAGAGCCAATCATTGTCAAATTCTCTGATTTTTTTATTTTTTTTATCAACTTGGAGAGGATCACCTTGATTTGTGACGTATATAAATACATATATGTGTGTGTACTTGGTTGAATTAATGTTTCAACATACGTTGAAAATAGATTTTTAGTACAAAAATTGTATTTAGTTTGTTTATATACAAGACTTCTTATTAGGTCTCAGAGAATATATTGGAAATGTAAATATAAAATCTTCAAAGGGATATGTACTAAAGATATCCCCTCATCTTTTAAGGTGTGAGGTTTATTTTGATTGTTCTTTTGCAATTGTGAGAACTCAAAAATTTTATTTATATATATTTATTTAAGTGTTTAAATCATTTAATTATTTCTTTAATTATTTATTCACATGTTTAGTTTCTTATCTTTTCTCAACTTATTCGTTTTAAATCATTTTTTATTTTTCCTTCTTTTTTTTTCTATTAGTAATTGCTTAGTAATTTAATCACTAGTTGAAATAATAAAAATCTTTTATGCGCACGTTTTAGCGTAGTTGCATTAAATTCTACTGAGACGTACTAGTGCGACCAACTAACAAAACATGATCATAACCATGAGAGTGTAGTAAGATTTGAACCTTGAAGGAGAGTGACAAGACTTAAGAGTTGAACCCTATTTTCTCATTATTCATAGTTGACTTTGATTTGCTTGTAAAACCAAACAAACTCTCCATTTCTCTCATCACTCTTTCTCTTCTTTTTCCACTCCCCTTGCCCGAACCTTGAGAGGTAGAGAAAGAGAGAGTTGGCTGCAATTTCTTCCACCCTTTTTTCTTTGATCAAACCCTTAGATAATCATTAAGATTTTTCCTTCATCTCCTCTTCATTTTCCCTTGCTTGTTGGCCGGCTCCTTGGGGCAAAAGAGGAGGAAGAAAAAGCTTTGCATCTTGCCAATCAACTTTTGTTCTAAGTAAGATCTTCATCCTAACATCATTCCCCTTGTGGAGTTGAAAGGGTGGTTTTGATGTGTAGTTTGTCTTGTGATTTTTTTTTTCGTTGGAAGTTTGGAGGAAATGGTTGCTATATACATTGCTAAAGCTGCTTAAGTTATAGTTGAAAAATTGCTTTAATTACTTGCTTAGATGTTGATTCATGTATGTGAGACTGATTTCAGCAAAACAGTTTGAGTTTTAAATGGTGAAATTGTAGTTTGCTTCAAGATATGTTAGTTGTTGAACTTTCACAGTAGTCACCGCATAGACTTAGGGAAACTATCGTACCTTGATGTGGAAAAATTCAAATTGAGTTTTGCTTATTGTGTTTAAAACTGGATTCAGAGTGCTTTCTACCGTGAAAATTTCAGAATTTTTTTCAATTACTATGAATATTTATGATTTTCCAACATTTACTAAATTTTCACACCTGCTCTGTTTTTCTACCTGATGAAGCAGCAATTTGAGACTAAAATTTGACTAATTTGTGGATAGAATCTTACAAATGTGTATTCTGGGAAATTGTAGTCCTTTGAGTTTATTTTCCAACGGTGTAAAGTTTATAAATTTTCGACTTAAGAAACTTGTGATACGATTTTTCAAACAGTATCGCTCAAAATTGGGGAAAATTCTGTTTTCTAAAGTTGTTCTTGCTTCCATTTCCAACTTTAAGTTGGAGTTGTTAAACCATTTTGAACTTGGTTTTATAATTGGAATTGAGGTTTTCTCACAGTTTTATGCCTTTGAGTTGAATAGTGATTGTTGATTGTTCGAAACCGAGTTTCTCTACTATCCCTTAGTCATTATTTGAATAGCACGTGGCATGAAATTCTTATTTGATGGTGCTAAAGGTTTAGTATAGGATGGTAGAACTTATTAAAAAAAATTTTAACTATAACTTAGTACTTGGATAGTGAATTTGTGGGTTTTAGACCACTATGCCTTGTTAACCCCTAAATCACTACTTTACGTGAATTTTCACTTAAAACTAGGGTATTTTAAAGAACAAGTGACTTTTCTTCCCGAGTCGCTTATTGAACGTTTTGATAAGAGTAAATGTTATTATATCATCTTACTATATTCTTGCCTTATTTGTTTTTTTCGTTTAAATTTGTATTTTTGACTTTATCGTCAAAAGTTTTCCCTTATGGTTTAAACAAGAATAGGTGATACTTTTGACTAAAAGCTTGCACTTGGGGGGAGGGGGGGAGGGTTTACTCAAATGTTTGTAGTTCACTTATCCTATGTATTTGATCACAAGTTTTGAAAGCAAACCCGCGGACCCTTTCACCAAGAAAAAATTAACTTTTCTCCACACGGTGAGTGTTTAAGTGCGTGTTGCACTTCATACTTGCTTGACATGCGTGTATCCAGTAAAATTGCTTGTTATTGAACTGTTTGATATTTGACTTAGGTGAGCATGTACTTTAACTTGCTCAACCCTTTTCTTGCTTGCACTTGTCCTGTTAGTCATTTGCGCTGTTGTCCCATAGACTCTTTATTATGAATTATTATTCTATGACTATTTGATTGGTTGGTTGGGCTGTTATCTCACCAACACAACTGCATGTTGGGAATTCCAAAACCCTGTTAACTAGTTAGTCGAGTCGAGTTGGTAAGGATCTGGTAGATTAGATAAGGAACCTTGGGTCTACTATTTTGTCGAGTGGAGTAATATCTCCTCAACTAATTGGTATGCTCGAATATTACCATCACTGTTTATTGTGGGGTGCGGGAATTGAAGTAAAACGGTGTTATTGGTTTGATAAACGTTGATGGAATGTCAACCACTTGCGAGATATCCGAGCTACATGGATCTGGCTTTTGGAAGCCCTTGTATTATTGAATTGGATTGTTACTTTTCAACTTGCGCTCCAAGTATTTGTTTTATTCTTTCTTGAATTAGTGTTAAATTAAATGTTCTTGTTGGTTTGACTGTATGATTTTCTTAGAACCTCATTGGGCGAAAACTCACTGTATGTTTGTTTTCCTTAACAGGGAAAAAAGTGTTAGCACCCTAAGAGAAGTGAGCGTGCCAGCACTTGGTATATTTTGTATTTCGTACTTTTGGACTGTAAGCTGAACCTTGAATTATGTATTAAGATATTTTGGAGATGAACGCTTCAACTTGTAATAGTTAGTATTTATTGGTGATCTTGAATGATTTACTCGTACTTCTTGTCTTGAAATGTTAACGAGTCCTGGCGAGAGTTGGGCAGGTGGCCCGCCGACCACTCTGGTTCGCCTTGCAGTTGTTAGAGGGTACATTGAAAATAGAAGAATGAGCTACTGTGGGTGGTGTTTGAGCAAGGAAGTGTTTAATTTGCTGAGTTTATCGTTGTAAAGAAAATGTCCACATGAAGAATGGGATAAAACATCAATAAACAAAGTTCTCATGCTAAATGTTGAAGAAAGAAACACGGTCCAATGAAGATGCCTTCTCAGATACAGCTAAGTTCATTCATTTTCCATGATAGAATACACATAAAAACTGTTATATACACCATGAGAATTGCTTTTCCACACCATACTTATCAAAGATTTAGGACAGTGCAGGTGGAACTTGATTCAGGAACAGAGGCCAATATCTCTTCAAATTGCATCTGGTGCTCAGCCACAGAAACATTGCAATCATCTGCAAACTGCCTTCTGCGGATTGTAACCGTTATTGTGTTGTTTTCCGTTGTCAAAGTAATCGAAGGTGTCTTGTCAACATGTATGAAGTGAACGGCAAATCTTGGAACTTTCTAATGTTACGTCAGGCAAAGTCAAGATTGTTGCAAAATATAGATGTTCATAAGGGAAAAAATACAATTTGAACTTACAGAGTTATGTCGATTGTGTTTCTTAACAACTTGATAGAAGCATACGCCTTCAGTTAAACTTTGCACAAAATCTGCTTTCGTGGATGATTATACCCGTCATTGTATTATTCTCAAATTCCTGTTGACTGGAAAGTAGATTATATATGTCTGAGGTAAATAAGTTTAAAAAAAAAGAAATGAATTAGTAAAACCGAATACAACAAGTCTAACTTTCTGAGTCAAGGATGATTGTAGATGTAGAACATTAGGTATTGGAATTGTCCATGGCATGTATCCTTGTTTCTTGTCCTCTGAGAAGTGGATCAAATCAAAAAATCAAACTTCCAGAATGATAGAGCAAGAAAAGATAATTTTCTTTTAGGATGTTGCTACGACAAATCTCTTGTCATCCTTCCCCAAACCATTGTCAGTCAAGTTTGATTGACTACACTGGTGTTTAATTAGAATGACTCAAAATTGAGTAGGTAACAACTGCAGTTTACACCAAAATGTAAGTATGCTGACAGCTGAAATAACATGCTCACTTCTAATAATGGTAATGAATTTCTGCAGAATCAAAGTACTTATTTTGTTCTACTAAATCTAAATAAGAACCAGCAAGCTTTGAAATTGATATTTCTTGCTGACCAACTGGATTATCCAACACTTTCAATGGCCTCCATTTTTCTCAGCTAAAACTGAAGATTCAGTGCCTACTTATGTATCCGTGTAGGAGCAACTTCTTCATCTTGTATATATGGAAGAACTTTGAAATATGTAAGATTGAATTGGTTAGTTGTGGCAGTGTTTAGTAGATAGCGTGATGATATTAAGTGCTTCAATTAATATTTGCAGGTGCACTGTTGGTTATAGAGAAAGCAAGTCTAGAGACTTTAAAACTAATCTGCTATTTAATAGAACGATCTGTAGTATACTTGGTCATTGGAAAAGAAGTATTTGGTAATCACAAATGTATATGTCAATGTTCCCTTCATTTCTAGAAATTCTACATAAGGTAGAATATTGATCAAGACTGTTATTACTGTACTAAACTTGTGTTAACAAAAGATTGAGTTTGTGTTGAGACATAAGAAGGTAGATAGTGCGGTGAATGCAAAAATAGGGGTAAGTTATGGTTCCATGTGCAGTGCAAAACAACGCATAATGAGATGGAAGGTCAATTTCATCTTTGATAGAGAACAGTACTTAGAAAGCATAATGAGTCCACACACCTATCCTGATGCTCACAGCTCCTCAAAAGCATTGTGTAGTTAAATACAAACCATGATATTGTCCAAAATCAGTGGCAAAATTAGTCTAGATAAATACACTGGTGAGCATTCAGTAAGAGGCAATCAAAAACAAAAGTTTTAGTCATGACACTTGCAACTGTTTTAACTCTACCTGGCTTTTTTCATTGTGCTACCTTCGGCATCTTTGAAGATGCTTTCCTACGCGTCATTAGATTGATTGAATTCTCAACAAGAGAACCTTTAGCTGGTTGAAGAAAAGGTTTCATATCCTGTCCACAACATGGGGGAGTTTTCATCAGAAACCTCTTGATAGTACTGCATCACATTCCATCTGCTAGAGGGGTTTTTTGATTTTAGCTCTTGGTGCAGCCTTTCCAATGGAAGTTCCATATATTCTGCACAAAAAAGTCAGGCTTGATACGTGCTAAGAACACTGCCTTCACCCAGACAATTTGAAAGATGATAGATAAATAAATAAACTCACCCTGTTTATTTAATGGTATTAGAAAATTCGTTGACAGGAAGAAATCCATCATCCTTTGCCCTGCTGTGATATTTATTATATTAATAATCCTTTGATCTGCCTAGAAAGAAATTTTTGGATTGTACTTGTTATTTGTCCTGTGACTAACAATCTCTACAAGTAGCTTAGAACTTCTCATTGCCTTGCGAAGAGGCAATATTAACAGAAGCCAACTTATAAAGTTTTGAAAACTTAACTGTTAGAAATATGTAATAACCCAAACAGTTCTTCATTGATCTTGCTTCTTGCACAGGTGGATCAACAAGAATAGCTGAGTTAAACCAAGTTGTTAGAGCAACTCCTACAAGTAAATCGGAAATGTCATTATATATATATATATATATATATATATATATACTGTTTATGCAGAAAGCATGCATAGCAACTAAGCTATCAAGGTATTCAAGTTGTAGCTATTCTAGTTGCCATTGTAATTTAAAACCTTCAACCTCTTCCCAATGATAACAGGATAGTTTTGAAGTTCTGCTACGATCTTTGCAACTTCATTTTCAGTGAAGGCATCCCATATTGATAACATGGTTTTCCGTATATTGCTGAATAAAATTGTAGAATTATACATCTCATTCTTCATTGACGATTACAAATTTTTGGACATATGAATCTTTTGATTACCGGTTGATGAGTTCCTTCTCCAATGCAGGAACGATGATCCCCCAAAACACTTGATAATTAATAACAGACACAGTGTGAATATAATATATGGAGAAGTGTAAAGCAAATGTGTGTAACAATAAAAATGTTTACCAACATATTCATCCTTTTAATTAACATATATAGCTAAATGTGTGAATGCCATTCTCTTCGATTGAGTTCAATTGCTGACGTGGCACATTTTTATTGGTCTATTGATGGTAGTCCTCCGATTGATTGAGCTGATGAATTGAATTGAGGATAAAATTGAGATTTCACGCCTTAATGAATAGGTAGGGTTCCGAGAGTCTTTGCTTGCGCCGCTCATTGTGTTTCTTGCTTCTGCTCCGGTTCTTTCTTCCTTTCTTCTCCCGTTCTTTCGCCCTTTCTCCTTTCTTTGTTTTTCACTTCTTCTCTTTCTTCTTTAATTGAACATTAAATAACAGTGCAAGACAAAACAAAGGTCACATGTTGGTCTTCTTCCAGAGCTTCTCTCCCCTTCCATTTTTCTTTCCTTTTCTTTGTTCCTTTCTTTGGCAAGAAAATAAGATTCGGGATTTTCTCTCCCAGAGATGTCAAAATGTTTTTCCTCCTCTTATTTTCTCTTCATCTCTCCAGTTTTTTTCTGCACTGCCATCTACCCAAATCGTTCTTCCTCTCATCAGCTGAATCATGTGTAAGCTGGATCATCCACCGTTGTAAAAGCAAAAAAAAAATAAAAATATGGAGATCGTTTTCCCTTTTAAACTTTCTTCATCTCCTTCTCAGAAATTGTCATCTTTATCGGTGATTTTTGTGGGTTTTTTTTCCTAATACTTGATTGTACTTTCTATGGTGTTTTAGGTGGAAAGGTTGAATATTTACATTGACTCTAGATTCAAGGTAAGTGTCTTCCATGACTTTTCCTTATCTTTAAAACCCTCAATTCTTTTTCTCATATGCTTTTACTCTCATCTCTAAGGTTTTTTTTTCCTGTTTTTTCGTATTGCTTTAAGAAGGAATAATTTGACTTCCCCGTAATATATTGTGCTCTTTTTGATGTTTTGGTGAAACAATTTTTTTTGTTTTCATTTTGGGTTTTTTGCTGTTGCTGTAATTTAGGGATTTTTTTTTTATGGAGAGCAATGAAGGAGGGGATGATAATGTTCTGTATGGTTTAGCAAGTCAAAAAAGGTTTGCTTTTTTTCATACCCTTTTCTAAATAATCAAGAACATTCCCTATTAATCCTTTGGCAAAATGTTGTGAAATATAAGATATTTCAATCCAAAAAAGTACAATTATAATGTTAATATGATTAGCAATCCTGTAAACTGTACTGTCCCTATAGCTTCTGAGGTCTTCAAGAAAGCAGGGACTTATGATGACAGAAAGTTGTTTGGCGTCACTATACTCGATGTTGTCAGGGCGAAGACATTCTATGCTAGGAAGGCCAAAGTCAATGTTGCAGGTATATCTGCTAGGCCTTGGATTATAGTGTGGTGTATGTAAAAGTGTCTTACTCATTCTTTGTCGTGCTTTGGTTTTGGGAAGTAGTCTATTCTGGCCTTAACTTACCTTTTAATGCTTGCTCCTTTCCTCCAGAGGTTAACGTACCCGTTGTTGGATAGAAAATTACTCCAGTTCTTTTGTTTGGTTTGAAAAATGAGGTAGTGTATTTTTTGGGTGATACAGCAAGTTTTCTGAAGCAAAACTTATCACTTGAGATATGATAAGTGAATGGGTGAGAGAGTTCAAGTTTTGATGTTAGAAATCACATTGGAAATGGTGATGCATTTGACCATAAACCTTTTACGAATAAGAAATTTTTTTGCTGTCACTAGACTAGAATGCACCTACTTTTACACTTTTTTCCTTCATTCCCCCAATTTTTTTGTCTCCTATATTTCAGAATTTTTTGTCTGAATGTTTTCTTTTAACCCAAAAAAGTAGAAATAGGCTTTTGTGTGTGCCTATAGGGGTTTAAAAAGTAAATGCACTTTTAGAGTTAAATAAAAATGAATGGTGCTTGTTAAATTGGTTGCTTCAGAATATGACGAAATTGGGAGGGGCATTGCAAGAGTTAATTCAGTTTGAGGGCATTCTCCAGTTATGATTCTGGGTACTCCTGTATTTGCCATACTGCCTATCTTTACTGCCTTGAAATTTAGCGGGGTTCTGTCTATCTCTATTGATTGCAGTTATTATTTCTTAGCAGTTGAAATGTCTTAAATTTAGCGGATAGAGCAGCTGATGTTCTATGTTCAAATTTCCCAACTCTTGTTTAGTTGTTGCTTGGGTTTTTCAAAATAACTGAAATTGTCAATTTTCTTGGTTCTTGTTCATGTTTCTGCCATTGCAAGGGGACTTTGACTGCCATTTCCAGGTTGACCTTTTGGCCCGTGTTCCAAAGAATCATCCAAAATATAATGAATCTGTTATTAAACTACATGGTATTCTTCATAATGTCAAGATCTGGGAAGCTGTATGTTGAAATCTTTATTTCATAGTTGATTTTTCTGGTTTTGTGGTTTTAATATGCAAAGTGAAATCATTATTATGCCTAACTTCCTTGAAGATGTTTTGATCAGTTCATGATTCATGAGATACATAGTTATATGAATTAGGTAAATGGAGCTTCAAAAGCAAAATCCATGTAATCTACTATGAAGATACCGTCTTTCCTCTTTTAAATTACTAAAAAAACCTAGCTCGATCTTTGACTGGAAAAATTATGTTTAGAAAATAGTATCCCTGTGCTTCACACGATTGCCCTTTGATGTTGGACCCAATTTGCATTTTTAAAAAAAAGAAAAATTGGAAAGTAATGCATAGGAAGTTCTCTAGAATTTGCTTCCACATATATGTACAGTGTTTTGTTCCCTTTGGGGAAATTTCATCAGTGACATTATTTTTATTGATTGATTTCTATTGGTAAGACTCGCTTTTACACTCTCTCAGTAGATTCTTTTCTTGTTTCTGTTATCCCCAATTTTTTTTGTGAATTCTTCTTTCTTCTAAGCAACTTTAAATGTTCTTTTCATTATATGAATATGTTATTATTGGGATACATCTAATCTTGATCCTACTTCTGTAGCAGGAAATGACCATACTTTCTGTTTTGTTACTGGTGGGTCTGCTCATGTGCAAATGCAACTTAGCACCAAAGAGTGTGAGAGTCTGGGATTAACTGGTCTGGCTCTCTGTTAGACTGCAACACCTTTGCTGAGTACGTCAAGGACCAAGGTTATACCTTTATTATATGAATTTTGTTGATCCTCTGATATTTATGGTTTTTGGTGGATTTTATTTCTGGGTTATGATGGGTTTTTTAAATTGATTACTCGCTTGTAAGTACATGGGTTGTAAAATGGTAATATTTGGGATTCTTGTTTCTGTACTATAGCTGATTGGTTGTCAAAATTAACGAATAGTGGGAAGCAGATGCGATTCTTATTGCTTTTAGTTGACTTAAGATCTGGGTTTTTTTTTGGGATTTATGAATTGCTTATTTATATGTGAGATGTCATTGGTGATAATTTGAAACAAGAACCTAAAAAAGGCTATGTTTTTATACAAATCAGATTGAGTTATTATGCTTATAACAGTAAATAAGTGTATTTTGATTTTTGTTGTTTTTGCTATAATTTTTTGTGATTAAGTTTGACCAAAAAAATGGATGGATAAGTAGTATTTGGAAGATTTATCTTTTTTCTTTTTGTGCCTCAGATAGCTTAAGTATAATCGCAGAAATCGAAATAAGATCTTCATTGGGATTCTTAAATTATCTCATACAATTAGTGGCGTTACATTGTAATGTATAGAATTCTAAGTAACTAGCCTGGATTATGGTAATGGTTCAGTTTTGTTGCTCTTGAGGATGTTTTGCACCTGAGCTGACAATGATCAAGACCTGCAAGAACAAACGTTTTACGGTCATGATTTCCTCAATTACGCCTTGTAGTTCCTTATATTTGATGATTAGGACCATACCTATTAAATTGGGATATTCTGTTGGCATCCTTTATTGTACCAAATGAAGTACTATCAGGAGAAATTCTGAATGGAAATGTGCCATTTTCTGAAACATGTACCAGAGAACCCTTATTCTTCAACCCTTTTATATCCATTTTGGTGACTTTGGAATATTTAAATAGCTGAAGCTTGTGTAACAGAATTCATCAATTATATAATGACTTAGATTTGTTAAAGAATTTTGGATAGTAAGATTACAACAAACTGTTTGAACATTCTGCAATAATTTTACTTAGCAGGAAGAAAATTGCTCATGTTGTCTAGAAATCCTGGATGTTTGACAAGATCTGCATTTAACATATGCAATTTAGATGGTAACTTCTATAGATTTCTGTATGATATTGGAGTGATCTTTTTGAGCATTCCGCAAATAATATACTCTATGAGTATGATAATCTGGAAAACCTAATGTTTGAAAAGACTCCGGATGCAGTTTAGATTTGTCAGTGCCTCTTAGAAATTTGCCCCTTGGCTTTGCCTTAGGCTTAGAGATGGCTTGCTGGATCGGTCCATTTTTATCTATTGATTTTTGTTGTGAATTTTAGTGTGCAAAGCTTGGTCCTGTCGATTCAGAAATAGCTCATTTGATGCCCACTGTCTTGAGTTCATTTTGTTTTGTTTTTTAAATTTTTCCTTGATTTCTCTATTTTGTGTTTTGGCCTGTATCGTTGCTTCTAATATATGATGATTTGGTATCTGTAGGGTAGGAGAAGGGGCGGTGGCATATGGTGTTAAAAATCTTATTTTTCATAAGGGATATTCCGCCTTCTAAATCTCTCTGACCTTTGTTGTGTAATTTACAGGATCTGTTGAGGCATGAGAGTAATAAAAGCCGTGGTGACATCCTTTTCATGTATGTCATTATTGTGGGTTTGCTTGGCCTTGTTCTGGGTTATCTTTTGAAGAGGACGTAATCAATCAAGGTTTGGCGTAACCTGCAATATCATGTGTTACAGTCTGTTTCAAAATATTTAGATCATTGAAGACAAATGTACAACTGATCGGGAAGCGCTCAGTATCATGTAGCCATCTGATTTGATTGACTGTAGAAACATGCTTAAGAAGGTGCTTGATGGATTTTTGTTATTGCCTTGGGGGCTTTAGAGCATTCATTGTGTGACTAATTGCTGTAACGTGTTATTTTGGAAACTTAAGAGAGGGACATATTTTTATCTTGCTTCTTGTTTTCTTTCCCTTTCTAATGCCTTAATGTTCAATCAGCTAGAATTTTGTTAGCTTTTTCCCCAGTGGTTATATTGTTTCAATCAATCATCATTTTATCTTAAGTGGTCATATTTAATTTTTCTCTTTGTGATCTTGATATAAACAAATATTGATTCATTTTCTCATTGTCTATTGTTGATTTGTTATCCAAGCATTTGAGGGTTTAGTTAACGTGTGTACATACAGAATATGCTAAATGTTAAACTATTCGATTTGGAGCCTTCATCACTTGTGCTTTCAGTTTCATTAAGCAAGTTGCAAATCTGCCGTGCTTGATTTGTGTACATAGCCAATAGTTTTGAGGGTGTCAAGTCAGCATACCAGAATAGTTTCTAAGTTTTAACGAGGAATTAACACCATCCGAATCTCAGGAACCATCAATAAGGATAAGAAGCTTTTCATCTTTCGAGTTTTAGAATTTTGCTTGATTTGAACAATAATAGAAATCGAATTGAATTACTTATCAAATTGAGTAAACAAATAGCATCTCCACTGTTAAATATTTGGTTTTTTTTTTCTTCCCTAAAAGGTTACTTGTTTGCAAAACTACAAGACTAATACAATATATTTGTTCTGAGAACAAAAGTAAATGATCAATAAAGAAATATCTGAAGTTTTGCCTTTCTTGGTTTTGCATCTGCATCATCACTGCAGCCGAGGAAATTTCATTGATAGAGTTTTCATTGTGGGTTTGTAGAGACTGCATTTTAGAGATCTCTTTTGTACGTGGATATGATTATATATTATTTTAAAGTTTCTTTTATGCAAAAAAAAAAAGATGTTTTATTTGTTATATGTTGTTGACTTAAAACTTATCTTGCATCTGAAATATTTTCATTGTGTAATTATTTGATTTGGTTTTTCAAAACTCATTCATTGTCTTAATAAGATTTTAGACACGAGATAATGGCTTGTTTATCTTATCAATTATATGTAGATTTTTAGCCCGTATTGTGTTGAATCCTGTATCTCTTGCAATTATGTGGTCGTTTTTTATATTTTACAATTAAATAGGCTTCTTATCCAACATATTTTAGTTTTACTCTCAAAAAGATGACCTTTCTCTTGAATTTGTTCATGAGTGGCACATTTTTTGTGCACATCAAATCATTGCAAATACAGTTAGTATATGCAAGATGACGTTACATGGTAATATATTATTTTGAAACTCATGACATTGCCAATCCTATTCAATTAGTAGATAAAGCAAAAACTGACTCTTCGTCGCTTAGTCACTAAGTTAAAATTGTGGCTTATTTTCACTGCTTAATAAAATTACAAAAACATAATCCTAAAGATTTTTGTGCACCTTTATATAATTTTTCATACTTACTATCTAAATTTGAATAATTGCGCATTTCTGGGCAAGTCCAAAAATTACACCGCGCATCGCGCGGTGTTACCCTCCTAGTCCATATATTGTGTGTAGATACCGAATTTTGCCTCTAATTTATAATTTTTATTTGAACCTACATTATTTATTCATTTATTTATTTAGACACCGAATTTTGAACCTACAGATTTATCTTTATAATCCATGTATTGTCTGTAGACACCAAATTATAATTTTTGCTTGAACCTATATTATTTATTCATTTATTTATTTAGATAGCTTTTCTATGAAGTTAAGCTTGGAGTTTTATTTTCTTTAAAAAAAAAAAAGAGAAGAAAAAGAAATTTAGGAAAACAAAAACCCATTTAAACCCAATTCCAATAACCCAATAACTAACGCCACCAAAGGCTCTTCCTAAAAACCCAAAAGAAAGAAGCAAATAACTCTATGCCAAAAAACAAAGACCCAAATGTTGGCCCAACAGCAAAAATGGCCCAACGGAGCTCACCAAGTGGCAGCGCTCCTTTGGCTGTCACATTTCTCAGTAATGTCCCAATCTCATGTCGGGGGTGGGGGGGGGGGCGTACGGTACGAACTTTATTTTTTGACTCTTTAGAGCTCTTTTTCCTTCTTGTTTCCTCATTGGACAATCGTACAATTTCTTTCAACACATTTTTGGTACAAAATGTTAACAAGATATTTAAACAAAAGATCCACAAAAAGTGCAATTCATTAAAGAAAACTCACTAAAGTGACGCAATAAGTTGTAAACTAACACACCAAACATAAAAAGAGGATTAATGAGTCAAGGAAAAATTCAATGATAAAGGCAACAATGATATTTAGGGACTAAAATAAGAAAAATCAAAGTTTTTAAGGCCAAAGTATAATTTTTCTAAATCTAAGAGACCTAAGTGCAAATTCTTAAATGTTAGTTTTACTACCCTTTTGTTCATAAACTACTGAAATTTAACCTACCTTAATTATCCAAAGTGATTATCAAACAAACGAACCAAGGACTATTCACACTAATTTTTCAAGGTTGTGAAGTTAAAATCCTAAACTTAATAAATTCACTTAATCCTCAATTATACTTGAAAAATTAAAATCGATCCATTAAGACAATCATAAACATGATGAGGAAAAGTCAAGAAATCAAAAGGAAGAATTTATCATTTTCTCAATTTTTAGACCTCAACACAATTATTTAAAATATTAGGGGTCAAATTGTAAATATTTCTTAGGTGCTTACATGAAAAATCAGGACCAGTTAATCCTATACCAATACAACTAAATTTTTAGAAAATTAGAAAGTGCCAAAAAATACGCAAGATATCTAAAACTACAAATTAAAAGAAAAATGAAGAAAACATAAAACAAAAGCTTTGGTCCATGTTTCCTTAACCCAACTTTTAACATAAACAAATCTGGGCATTTGGGTCCTAAATAATTCTATTAGACCCATTTCCAGCCACTACGGCCTTGTAGAGGCTTTCAAAGGGAACTTTTTATATAAAAAGGGTCTAGACAACATCCAAAACATGACCAAAGCATTCAATTCATCTCGAATCTCATATTTTTTTTTTTTTATGAAAAAAATAACCAAAGCACGAGAACACAAAAAGAGGCTTCAACCTCATGTTTCCTCCTCAAAACTCAACAAAAATCAAAGAAAAACATATGTGAATTATTTGCCCAAATATATTTGCTTACATCACCATTATAATTTCCAATACACCTTTTTATCTTCCCAATTATCTTTTTATCTCACATACATCACATCACAAAAAGTACTACAGTAAAAATATTTCAAATAACTTACAATCCAAACACACTAATGGTTAGATTCCTCAAATGATAAGTAGCAAAGCCTACTAAAATTTCTGGGCTCAAAACAATCACATTACTATTTGCCGTTATCGACGCATGAAAGCTTCAAAGGAAATGGGTCTCTTATTTTATTTCAAGAACTTGAGGCTTCTTGATTCTAACATGCTTTCTAACCCAAAATGGAACATAAGCTACCATAGAATTTTATCAATAACATACATTTAAGCAAACATAAATCCAAATCCAAAAATTGAGACAAACCAAGATAAGAATGAAATGACATTCTAATCTTTGGGAATGAAAGAGCGTTTAATATGATTACCCGTGATGTTTGATGACGACTTAGACAAGAGATTCTTAGAGGCAAAATAATGCAAGGAATCAACGGACCCAAGAAGGTTGCCGAAAACGATGACTAAGGGTTAGTTTTTGGTCATCTTTGAGCCTAATTTTGAGGCCCTTATAGTTTTCTTTTCAAGAAGTCACCGACAGAGAAAATGCTCTACCACAGTCCTAGAGAGTGCAGAAAAACAAACTCTCAAAAAGAACAAAAAATGAAAGAGAAAATTGTCCTCAATGAGGCTGTCTGGTCAGATGTTTTCCTATGGTTTTTTTTTCTAGAAATTGTTTTTTCTTTTGCTCTCATTTTTTTGGTCCTTTCGCTCCCTTTATTTTGTTTCTGCCGCTACCTCCTTTGATAACTCTCTCTAAAAACCCTAATTCCCTTTTTAGTGGCTATTTACATGAAAGAAACCCTTAGATACAATAGTTAGAATCAATTCTTAGGAAGGAAGATACAAGATGTGTTGCTTTTGGGTCCTTTAATTGAACACCTTGATAAGGTTTCTTTTGGATAATTTCTTGCTCAACAATTCTTCATCTTGTACATGTCGCGCTCAATTCCAGCTTTCCTTTGAAACTCGCCAATATCATGAGCTTTTGGACTTTAACAAATGCATCATGATCTCGTCTCAAGTTTGAGTTCAATCTCATTCTTCAAATCCTACAGAAACAACAAAATTATGAGATTAAAAGGGACAAAATTTCAATTAAAACCCCAGATAGTGCTTAGAACCAATTATAATAAAAATGGACCCTTTACTTCTTGTACCATTACAGAAGTCACTAAAAATATCATCTAATTATCTCACAAAATAGTCACATGTCAACTCCCCACACTTAAATCATTACTTTTTTTCAAGCAATAATGACATGTAATCACCAACAATGATTCAAGGGGTGAGACACTACATGTACTTTTTCAAATTCAATTCCTTATAACTAGACAAACAATCAGTATACAATCATTTAGTTCACATCAAATACTTATAATATTAAGTAATGAATATACAATTATACCCTAAAATCAACAAGTTCAACTTATTTCATCCTAACCTAATTTCATAAATAAGCAAATCATATTCATAGCAATCCTTCTCCTATAGTCATCTTTTTCTCAAGTGCAAGGTCAAAGAGGGTATTATTCATATTTTACTACTATCTTACTTAAATCATGAAAGTTTCTTTTGACGTGAAAATCGACATTTTCGGATGAGAACCCTTAGTTACTCAACACTTTACTTATTTGAGTTGCTTTACATACTCTTAATTCAGGTAACTCCTTCTACGAAAGTCAACATTTTTTAGATGAAAACTCTCGCTTATTCGGCATAAGAATCATTAAAGTAGAGCAAAAACTATTATTTTACTTTTTTTATTTTTTTTCAAAGAAATACATGACCTTCTTAAAGAAATAGAAATAATCGTA